ATTACGCTACTTTTCGAGATAAGACAATTTTACGTATCTGATATGTTTTTGTTGAAGCTATGAAAAAATTTCAAAAATTAATACTGGTGATAATTATTAGTTAAATTTAAGTTTCTGCTTTTATTTTTGGAAGCTTTTCCAGCATTGCTGTAAGAATAATATAAAATGCACCTTGGCTACCAGGGCGTTATTGAGTACGACTTATCAGTTCAGCAGTGTTTGTCTTCATTCATGGCACACAGAAATTAAGTTAAGCAAGGGCAGTGATTATCCAAAGCAGGTTACGTTTAGTTATTGTACCTGTTTTAAGACCTTAAGGCAGTTATTAGAGAAGCAAACTACCGTTACTGACCGGTATTGCATTAAGACTGGAAAATTACTAAAGAGGTGCCCTATTGAAGCGGTCATTTAAGTTATTGGAAGCAAGAAGACGGTGCGACTACCATTGTCACCGGAAATGTTAGAGAAGGCTGAATTGTCTGCATGCGCTGCATATAAGATAGTTTAATCACTTTAGTATACAGTATATTTCTGCTCATTTTCGCATGAGATGACATGCTGGTTAGTTCAGCTTTCAACTTTTGGATTTATGTTTCTTTTACCTTGTGTAAAATCGTTTCCTCTTTCATCAGCGTTCTTCTTAATAAAGGGGGCTATCCTGTATATTCGGTCTTCAAGTTTGTTGGTCGTTTCGCCGATGTAAAGGTCTCCATACACAGAGCAGGGTTGTGCTTCTGATTTTGTTGTACTATGTTGTGCTTCTTTTTCCTGAGGTCACTAGGACGATAGAATATGATTGTACAGGGTTTGAATAAGGAATATTGACATAATCAGTATCGATAATTGAAATATTGAGATCGACGAAAGTTTGGCCATTTTAAAATTTTACTATAACTTCGAAAATCTTGTGAAACCCAAATGCCTGAGATAGTGAAGAACAAATGAACGTTGATTAGTGGATCCTTCACGTATTTCAAGTTGATGGGTATTGTGCTGATTACAACATGTTTCTTCACCTGATGAACTTTGGTTTAAGCAAATTGCAGCCGGTTCACTTTTGTCTGTTGTTTCGACATTCTGAGTATCTGTCCAACAATTTTTAGTTTCTCTCTGAAAGGAGTGATTCTGCCCAAAATCGCTTTCTGTATTCCATGACTCATTTCGTTGAATTTTAAAAATCCTTCTAAAGCGACATTTATGATGCTGTGTAAATAGAAAATGTTTTTGCCAGATGGTATTAGACTTTCTGTGCTACTCTATAGACCAGTTTCCTTGCAGTTATCGTTTCACTAACATTCAACAACTCTTAAAGCATACTTTCTTTCCACAGTTAACACTATATTGTTTGGACTTGTTGAGGTGCTTTCTCAGTGGTTGTTTCCTCCATTTTGCAGGTTGCAGAGATACCGTCTACATACTTTTTTCTACTGAGTAATGTTAAATGGTAGTCTCATCAATATTGAAGGCTATTCTAAAAGCTGTGCAACTGGATGGGCCAAAGCAGGAGTTTAAGTTAGGTGTTTCGCTCCCTTAAAATCACCCATTCCTCCTTGTGGCAGTGGGCGCAAATCAAGGGATCGCTCGATAAGGTGAATTACAGTGGGCTTGTACTCTTTTTTTCTCTGCGGTATTAGTGAAGGCATGTCGTGAACCCCCAATCTAGGGACCAACGGGACTCTTGTGGATTATCATAAAATCCTGACTGGTAGTTATATCTACTCAGTGGCTGGAAATCGGCTTTCACTGTTCACCCGGTCGAAGCATGAGTTCTCCACCGTGGTAGCTGATGGCAGCCTCTGATCCTGAAGCAGCCGCGTGTTTACATTTGAGTAACATGGCTGTCTACCGCATTCTAAGTCTTCAGATACAGACCATAAAACGATAACGAATCAGAATAAATTTTGACTCAAACTACCTAATCGGAGTTTCAAACTTTGGCTCGTCAACGCGCTCTCCTGAGAATATTCTTCTGATAGGCACAATGGTCTCCCGTCGACTTCGCACACACGACGTTGCCGTCGAGGATGGCATAGAGATTATTTCGAGCGTAGCTGTCAAGATAGGATTACAAAGAGATATCGTTAATTAACATTTCGTTAGCCATTTCCAATGCTGGTATTATGATACTACTATTATAAAGTCATTGTATTATTTGTATAATGTGTCATGTTAAATATTAAATCTGTTATTTATGACTGAATCTTAATAAATGCTTGACTGAGTGAGATTTATGGCCGTATGGCAGTTTTACTCCTTCATCATTCATAATCATCAAATTATGAATATTACTCTTGACGTTTCTCTGAGTAAGGTTTATATGCACCTCCAACAACAGTGAAACACGTGTTAAAATGACAATTGCTACTCAGAATTATGTTGTTGTTGTTGTTTTTTGGAAACGTCCGATTTCCGGATTTGAGACGTTCGACCGATAGGTGTTGATCGGTTTTTAACCGGGTTTCGCAGTGTTTTACGTACGCACCGCGCGGTCTTCTGTCTGTGGTGGTTATGTTGGCAGCTGATGTTTACTAATCGATGTTTACCAGTACAAAAATTGACACAGTTTGTTTTGTTGTCATCGCTGGTAAAACAATTATCGTGACGACAACGATAACCATGGGTCACATGTTGGCCGTCGTCTTAGAAACAGATCGACAGCCCCTAACGCTGAGGTGCACGTGTTCATTCGGTGGCCGGCGATCGCCCATCTTCTAACGCACTGTTTGCTTTATACAGCTTGTGGCGTTGCGGCGAGATGCAGGCTTTTAACGCTTTGTTAGAGAAACGCTTACCTTCGCCTCTGCTTCGGCTGCTTAACCATCCGGCAGGTGTGAAAACGATTTTTTTCTGGGCGCCGACCTTCAAATGGGTACGTAAACTGTTGTATGTCTTCTCGTTCCACTCAGTGTTCTGCTTTGCATGACGTCTTTTCGTAAGCAGTCGGTTTGTTACGTGTTTTTTGGGGTTTTTTGTATTCATATGGCTGACGTAATAAATCTTTATTCTTAAATCATTTTATTTACTTCTAAATTTAAAGAAAGGTTCTTCCCTGTAACTCTCAAACTTAAATCGCGGGATGATGGAGGAGGGTGGGGTGTTCAGGGCAGATTTTCGTTGTCTTCTGTAATGCTTTTGAAACCGCATCGCATAAGATTTGCGATATTCATTCCTTCCAACTTTCACGTCGGCCCTCCTTACACGTTCTTGATGGGACGGTTCTGACATCCTGTTTTCATGAAGTTATAAGTTGGGCGCTGACTTCCTTTTCCGTGCTGTCAGTCAGGAGTATCTTATTTAGAAGGCAGATCGCGCAACAACTGTATCGCAACCATAATTTAGCCCAGAGTGTTACTCATTACTCATCACAGCGTGCCATCAGTGTCGGAAAGAAAAAAAGGGCTTGTCATCAGGTGGGCACTGGAGCGGAAACTTCTTGCTTCTGAGTGCGATACTTTACAGACTGAAGAGCACCAGTCATGATCTTACTTTAAAATAATAATTCTTGACTGCAGTGAAGGGACAGCATGAATCTTAAACTCTATGACTTGCATAATTATTATATGAATTTCGAACAACATTTAAAAGGCAGCGCAGCAACGGGTCTTAAAAGAAGCTCTACCTTCCAGTTGAGAATTTTATCGTTAGATCAAGGGTACAAGGTGATGTACCTTTCAGCAATCCGGCGCTGGACAAACAACAAAATCAAACAATAGAAAAGGTATGCAAAATGCGTTGCCAGCTGAAATCAATATTTTCACTTTGGTAAAGATATATGGTTATGTTTATTTTTGTATCCTCTCTTAGAGCGTCTTCCAATGTCGATTTTTATTCCCGTTCACAAGTACGTTTATGA